ACCTTCTTCATTTGTGATTCAGAAATTGCACTGCATAACTCTCAGAATTACTGTGGAAATTGAAATATAATAGGTATAAATGTACTTTCAAAACTGCCAAATGCAGCCAACACATCAGCCCAAGTTGGAACACATAAATATGAGCTGGCAATATGGGAACATACACATCAAATAATGTTAAACAAAAAAACAAAACAGAGCAAAAAATGGCATGTATGTATGTAATGATTATAATTGCTTCCAGGGCTCTTGTCACTCAAGTTCCCTCAATGACAAGAACCACAAGACTGACCCTAGTGACTATCGCTTGCCTGCCTACCCCAGGGACTCCTTTTGAATATAAAACAAAATTCAACTGCCCTTTCCCAGTTGCTGGGCCCTATATGATCTATTCCTTTCTATTCCCAACCCATCTCCCTCCACATCTTCCTTCACATCTCCCTTCACACCATCAGCACCACCAGCTTCTTTCTGATCATTGACCCAGGAAAGTGTCCCTGCCCAGTCCCTCTGCCTGGAACACAATGTCCCTAAGTTTTGAGCCTCTGATCTTTGCCTGGCTAACACTGCTGCTCAAGTTCTATGACTTTAGGCTTAAATATTACTTCCTTCCATTTAAAATAAAGTCCCTACTCACACCTGCTACTGGTTGTTTTCTCCCTAACACTTATCGTAGTTTGCAATTAAATTTTCATTTATGTGCTGCTACGTTTCCTGCTTCCCTTACTAAACTGTAAGCTCTATGAGGGTAGGAAAAGTATCTCTCTGGTTTAACACTATATACCAAGCTCAATATTCCACAAGTAATAGGTGCTCAATAAATATCCATCCAGATGAAACATCAAAGGGCTACTTGTTCTAACCTTCTGTATTCCACAGAAGAGAAAACTAAAGCTCTGGAGAAATGAGTTCCCTAGGCGATTGAGGAACATGGTAGCCAAGCTGGGATTAGGATCACAACCACTGCTAGTAGGCCAGGACTAAGGACAGGGGAGAGAGGTGTGAATGAAACTGGAAGTGGGGAGAGAATTCAGAGTTTCTGTCCACTCTATAAAAATTTTTAATAGCTCAGAAAGGAGGGGGGTTTTTGATAGTATTCCTTTTCATTAAAGAGTGTCCATTAAAGAGTATCCTTCAAGTTAGAATTTTCTATTCTTCCAAATACATGGTTGGTCAGACCTAACTGAAAAAAAAATGGTAAAGGACAAAGAAAAGAGGCCATATAGCCATCCTCACTTGTCCCATCTATTTCATGGAGACCTTGGCCAGCGGAAGATCCTTAGAACTCTGAACCCCTCCCCCTTCCTGTCCCAAACGCTGTTTGTGCGGAATGACTGCTGCCCACACAGGCTAATGGGTACTTTGGACCCAAACTGAGCTTTGAACTCACCTTTCGCAACTGAATTCAATGCATTCTCTGCCCAACAGAAACAGCGGAAAACTAACTCTAGCTGACGGTCCCCATGAGTCTGCACAATGGTGACACAGCAGAGGGGTCCCCAGAACTCATCAGCAAACAAGGACACTGAGAAGTGTCTTTCAACAGGGTTGTTCTGGGGTGTATTACATATTTTTTTCCATTCCTTCTGGCAGCAGGACACAAGACCTTGGAGCAGGAGAGCTTCCTCAAGACCTGTAGCTAATGGACCAGAAGCACATTTACCACTCATTTGGCAAATTCTTATTAAGCACATCCCAAGTGCCAGGCTCTGTGCTGGGCTCCTAGCCAAAGATATATATGCCAAGATCTTAGGAGCAGAAAAGCATGCAATGAATTTCCATGCATTGAGCTAACTTCTCCCCCACCTAATGAGCAGAGCTGGTTCTGTGAGCTAACAAAGTGTCACCAAAACCCTTTACAAGTTGCAATGCCTAAACAATATAACCTAGAAAACCAAGCCAAGTAGATTGGGAAGTAGCTACCAGTCAGAATGGAAGATTTGGGAACACAAAACCTTTAGTGTAGATAAAACAAAGCTTGCTTTAAAAAAAAAAAAAAAAAGCCTGGCTTGCAGGGTCACCAGGACATTGGTTCTGGTATTACTTCCATAACTAACCCTCTCTGGACCCTCTACACCCCTCACAACCCCAGTTACATCAACTGCATAAGGGATAGACTAGATCTTTAGAGCTCCAGCTCTGACCATTTGAGCATTTAGCCACCCTTCTTTCTGATTCAGCAAAATGGATTTCCTTTAGAAATCAGGAAGGGAGGAACTCAAACAGACTAGCAAGCTGCAGTGTAACATCTAAAAAAGGCTTTTTGTGTCGGAGGGTTGTGTTCCTATTTCTGCCACAGTTTGCGTTTGGCTCCCCCTGCCCATTTCTAATCCTAACCCTTTTAAACAAGCAATACTGAGCAAGAAGCAACAAGCTCAAAACCAGTAGAGACTGGCCAGGCCACATGGCCCCCATATCCTGTTCCAGGACAGTGTGCTCCCGATTCCTTTCCTGGCTGAGCACAGAAAACCTCTTCCCTGCCATTTCCTCCTCCTCCTCCCAGCTGCAATGCAAATGCAAAGGATTCAGAAGGGCAGGAAAAAAGTCACTGTGATTAAATGGAAAGAGGAGATCTTGGCCTCGGGTCCAAGCTCAATTGCTGCTTGACCTTAGGAAAATCCCTTTCTGCTTTGTGCCTCAGTTTCCCCTTCTGTAAAACCATTAGTTTGGACTGGGTACCCTTAAGCCCCCTTTCATTCCTATGATGATGTGTTTGTTTTCACAACTCACAACTTCCCACCAACTGGGTTACTGCTACCAGGTTCAGAAGAGGCAGGGGATGTGAACCGTACAGTAGTAGCTAAGCAATGAAGATAAGGGAAAAGATACCAGACTTGAAAATACCAGGACCCGAGCAACAACTGCAAGAGACAGGAGGTAAGGAAAGGGAGAAGTCAGAAACTTCAGGATTTGGGATGAAGGACAGAAAAAACAATGATACTACTAAAAGGCAATCTGACATAGTGATGTAGAATACAAACTCTAGAGTCAGACTCTCTGGATTTGAACCCTACCTCTGTTCCTTTGTAGCAGTGTGGACTTCTGGGAAATTACTTAACCTCTCTGTGCACTAATCCTCAGCTATAACATGAGTGAAAACAGTACTTCATGGGGCTTTAAAAGAATAATCCAGTTAGTAACTCACTTAGTAACAGAGTGCTTGCCCAGCATACACAAGGTTTGAATTTTATCCCCCAATATTGCAAAAAGTAAATAAATAAATAACCTACATTGTGCCTAACAAATGGAAGCTTGTTCTAAATGCTTTTTCTTATTATATTGATATAATACATTCTATTTTACTATATTATTACTAAAATAGACAGGACACATAGATTCTAGTCCCTGCACTCTCTCACTAGTGACTCTGGAACTCAGATTCCCCATTTATAACATGATTTTGTTCATGACTTTTTTTGAACAAAATCAGTGTTTCCCAAAGTAGAAACAGTGTACATATTTTTGAAGGATTATAGTTGATGATGATAATTTTTAAAATATTTTGTTTTCATTTCAATGGTCACCTAAACAAATTCTGATAAACATATCTGGATTTTTTGAATGCTTACTTTAGCATCAAGTTTTGGCACAAAACTTCAAAGCCCAAGTTCATATTTGCATGTGCAATTATGTTGGCACCAGGGATTATAACAGACTAATGAGAATGAAGCAGATGCAGACTCAATTTATGAATGATGGTAATGAACCAAATGAAAGCCAAATGACATCAAATAAAAAATGTTCTAAAAAAAAAAAATAAAAATTTTTTAAAAATGTTCTAGTAGAAAAATGAATGAAGAACTGATTCATTAGCACAAAGTAATAAAGACTGGCCAAAATCAGGAGCAACACTGTATCATCCACTACCATATTCACCTTGCAACTGACGATCTGGGCTTTGGCTAAACAATGTTAGTTGCCTTACCACACTTTGGGGGATAATTTGAATTGTATTGTTTTTACAATTTTGTTTGCATTTAGTTTGTACATCTACAGGAGTCATACCATAATATCATAGCCTATAAGCATAAAGAGTACAGACATAGTTTGACATAGAAACATGTTTAAGTAACATTACAAGAAAAAGAAAGTTAATGAACACAGGGTTCCTAGGTATTTTTGTTCTTTTAAAGAAGGCCCAAGCATTATTCTACTTTGAGAAACAATGCATTAAATTCTCTTCAAGATCTTTATAGCTCTTTGAGTTTCAGAAAGATGATCAATTTGGTTATAGACAAGTTGAGCTTCATTCAGAAGTCAAGAGGGAAGGCAAGTTGAGAATTCAGGGAAAGGCAGGACAGGAAAGAGATTTAGAAACCGCACAGAGAGGTTTAGCTAAGCCCTGAGAACTATATGGGGTCAGTAAAGAAAGGTGGTCAGAGATAAAAAGCCAAGAGCTAATGCCTGAGATTTAGGGAACTCACCCTGCTTTACAGCCCTAACATTCCTCTGTGGAAAATGCCATTCACCTGTACATTAATGGTGATCTTCTCGGGATTCCTCAAGGCAATACTGGCCCATCTGAGAAATGAATGGCTTAGAACCCTCCACAGACACAATACAAGCCTCAGTTATTATAGCTCTCTAGGCTTGCAGCCAAAGGTGCGAGTCTACCCTAACACCACGAGATCCTAACACTGATCTCTAAGAACTGGGCCAGGAACTCAATTCACTCCCAACTTCCAGAAAGACAGGAGGCCATGAGGTGCTCTTAGAGAGCCAGGTGGCTCCAGAGCTTTAGGGAAAGGAAACAGTGATCAGGGCATTTTTCTGCCAGGTTCCAGAAGTCAGAACTCATGCCTGGGCAACAGCATAAACTAAAGCTAACACTTCTGCCTGCTTGCAAATCTTCCTCTGTGCTAAGCCATAGGGTCACATCAGTACCAGATTCATTTAATCAGCGTATAAAACCTAAAAGCATTCCCTTCCCTCCCTCCCCCAGCCCCCAACTCAACACCATGGAGAAAGCATGAGAGATCCCCAAAGAAACCCATGCTTACTGTTTGTCTTCTTCTGAAAGTCAGGTTCTTCCACAGCAGCAACCTCAACTGAGGCCAACAAGCCATGATACCTCTGCTGGCACCAACAGTGACCTGTGTGTAGCTCGGAAGCCCTGAAGGCAGTGGCTGGAGCTCACACCAGGGACTCTGTGGCTGGTCATTAACTGAAAGATAAAGCAGGAGACAAAGCTGTCAAACATTGCTACAATTATGCCATAGAGGGCTGTGACTCCAGCCCTCTCACCTAAGAGACCTCCTCCAACACCCAAGTCAGGGTCATGACTGTTCCTCAATTAGTTGTAAATTCTGACTCCCAGCCTCAGTGGTCTCTAGAAAACGGGCTATAGACAGTTTTCTGGCAGCAGTGTGGAGCTAGATGTTATGGTCCTCATCATTTTAGCTCTACTAGTATGATCATTTGGGAATGACAAATGTACTCTTGAAAGCAGACTGAGGGAACAACCTTAGGTGGCCAAAACACTGAGGATGGAAATGACATACTGAAATCCCAGAGATCTGCCTTCCTTCTCTAAGAAAGTGCCTCCTTTTCTATGAAATGTCAGTAATATTTATAAATTCTGCCTCAAGCCTGGAGTGATGATTTATTCTATTCCCTAAAATTCTATACAGACAAAATTCTCAGCTAGCCACAAAGCTGAGTCCTTCAACTGACACACGGCACCATCAATAAAGCAGTTTCCCAGTCTGGAAAGCCTCAGTGTGTCTTAGGTGACTGTGAGTAAGCACAAAAGAAATGCCACCAACACCTGACACCTGGGTGACAAAGATACTCCAGTGCTGTGTCTGTGTGGAAAGAAAACCATATCCCATAGAGAAACAAGTCTGCTAAGACAGGCACAGGGCAGCATCTGTGAAAGTGACAGGCTCCTAGGATCACAACATATGCAGCATACTTCTGGCCCTGCTCTACCTACACCTGAACACATGGCCTTGTCAGATGCACAGGTGCCTCCTGGAGGAGTGCTTCACCATGTGGGGCAAGGAGGAATTCTCATGAATAAAAGATACAACATCCTACGTGTCCCTGCTGCCCAACCATCAGCTGTATTTATTTAATGCTAGAATAATCCCAAGTAGTCAGGCTGAAGTTAAAGCTAAGGAAGAGGCAGAAAATGAAAAAATGAAGGAAGGGAGGGATATTCGGGTTAAAGGTAGGCCCTGTCAGTACTTGGTAGTATCAAACCCTCAGCAGAAATCAGAAACCAGCTTTCTTTATGAAAGAGTTCATTTAAGCTTCTAGTAGCCGTCGAGTATAGGTAGGGTGAGACATTAGGCAAAAGAAACCAACAGCACAAGAATGCAAACCCATTTATGGATGCAAAAGCAGAAACTGGTCTTAAAATCCCTGAGTCCAAAGAAGACCTCAAAGGTCAATTTCTGATGGGATTTTAACTGCTTACCCCCCCCACTCCACAAGAGTTCAAAAACTTCTAGGAACAACAACAACAAAAAAGATTGGAGGGAATTTTCAATGTCCAGAAGAAATGCCTTATCATGACATATTCTAATTCATGAATTAGCAATCTAGTAAGTCTGAGGCAGTCAAGCCTTAAAGCCTTTTTCATCATTTGTTCAGCAAACCTCTAAAGGACACAGACCCACACCCCCAAAGTTTCTCTTTCCAAAAAGAGAAAAGACTTAGACCAGCACTACCACATCAGTTTGCAATTCCTTGCTTAAAGACATCAACTGTCCCCTCACAGCACTGACAGCCAAAATAACACTGTGAGATGCATGCTTGAAATCCCAAACTGTGTTGTGAGTGAGTTAGGATAGGGCTTGCATTCCAGAAACACTGAAATAAAGAACTACCTGGATTTTTCTTCTGTTAAAGCTGCTCTCTGGGAATCACTTGATTGATTTATAAGGTACATGAATCTTTTCAGATTCCCAAGGTAACACTGAGGAGGCTGGAACACAATATGCTATTTTACAAAGGAAAACTAACCTAGCAAAAAGAGCCCTGACAAGCATTAGCCTGGACTTCCCAACCATTGTCCCCATCCAAGGCTTTTATGCTGAGCACAGGGGATGACAATACCTGCCTTGTATGATATTCAAAGGATTACATAAGATAATATAAGTAAGTTCCCAACACAGTACCTAGCAAAATTTAAGTGCCAAAGAAATGCAAGTTCCCTTCCCCCTACTTATGTTTCTCTGTTTTATTGAGGCCCTAAAGCAGATATATGGTTATACCCTGTCCAAAAAAGCCATTCTATTATTTCTAGCAAATTCATTATGAGTTTCTGAAAAGGTAGGAGAGGTAAAGTGGGAAGGACAAATTCTGAGTAGGCTAGTGTTTGGGTCCAGGACCAAACACAAGTACAGAATTGCCTCCCCTGAATTGTGAGCAGAGAAACTAAGAGGAGAAGAAAAATGCATCTCTACAAAGTATTCATGAGGAAAGAAAAAAAAAAAAAAAAGGCCAGGAGGAGTTTTCTTGTAGAGTATTTTTCTAAAGAGTTGAGTTTCTGGGACTCTAAACATGAATTCTTACTCCAAGACAACCAGGAGACACATAGAGGAAGTTGGGAAGAAGCTGCTCAAAGCAGCAGTAGAAAGTTCTCCTCTGGCTTTGCTGTGTGCAGACAGGCAAGCTTCCTGCTCAATCCTTCCTGCCTACCTTGGCATTTTCAGGCCTTCTACACAATTCCCGCCCATATCCCTATCTCAGAACACAGCAATCAATGCTGAGAGAAATTCTATCCAAAGAGGAGGGTTTGGCAATGCCTAAACCATTCTGTCCAGCTAATGAAAGCCAAAGGGACATTTCCACATCAGTTTTCTAAGGAAGTGAATAAACAAACCAAAAACAAAAAAAAAAAAAAGGAAGAAAAAAGGCAGTACTGGATTTTTTAATGTTTCAAAACTGTAGCACAGTCACTCCTGCCCTTCTACACATTTCCAGTTACTAGCTGGAAAGGATCCTACTGACAGTCACCAGTCAATAGGCCACTCTCATCTTGCTTCTGGATGACCACAGTAGCCACTTCACTGGCCTCTCTGCCTCCCAGTCTTGTCCTACTCCCACTGTTTTATCACAGAACACCCAAAGTTATTCGATTAAACCAAATAACTGAACCTTTCACTCCCAACCCTTTACCAACTCCCACTACCCTAAGTCCAGTCCAGTCCTCACCAGCCTCACCAGAGTTTGCCCAGCCTCCCTGCTGGGCCTCCAGCTAACTCTCTCACCTCTTCCTACCCGCTCTGCAATGCCCTAGAGAAGAACTCACAGGCTAGGCCCTCTCCTACACTGGGACTTCAAGGCATATCCCTTTATCCTGAACACTTTTTCTCCAGCACTGTCAGACTGCCTAACTTCTCCTCCATCCTGGGTCTCCACTCAGTGGCCACTGCCTCAGGAGTCCATTCCTGATCATCTGTCCTGGGTAAGGAGTCCTTCTGAGTGCTCCCAGCAACCTCCACTTTCCCTAGCAAAATCTGTCCCCACTCTAAGTCAGGGCAGGGATGTTCTTGGTTCCTTCATCACTGCTTTCCGTAGTACCAGCTTGCAGGGAGAACTCAGGGGATGTGTGCTTCACCTTAATTAGGTGAAGAAACAGGGTCTCAGAATTCAAGGGTGGTGTCATTCCTGGGTCTGTGCTAACTGATTTCTCAAGCCTGATTAATGGATTCAGGCAAATTGTCCCCAGAGAGCGAGCTCTGTGTTCAGTAGACTCCGACCACACACGCAAGAGGGTCACAAAGGACTGCTGAGTTTCCCAAGGACTCCTGGAAAGCATAAGTGGATCTAAGTCTGCAGCCCATAAACACGTTTAGCTAAGGCTGGATCAGCCCTCCCAAGGCCACTCGGGCCATGAAATTGGCTTTCTGCAGATCCTCACGCTCAAGTCCTGGGGCAGTCTCTCTGGTCTTGTCATCAGTGTCAGTCACCCAGATAGACTACTCCTTGTCACAATTTGATAATTCCCACATGTCAACCCTGTGCAGTATAAAGCTCAAGAAAGTGATGCTCAAAAGTCTGACCAATTTGTTTAGAAATATTCGAGTACAACTGACATTTTGAGCCAATAAATATGAACACATATCTACAGAATACCAAACGCTGCTGAAATACAGTCTTTCCAAATAAGGAAAAATGCTTACTATCATTAGTTGCAGAGAAATGTGAATCAAAACCACAATGAGCTTCACTATACACCCACTAAATTTAAGTATGTAGAGCAACCATACTCGATATACAAACTGCAGGATTGTAAAATGGAAGAGACACTTGAAACATTTCACACTATCTTATAAAAAATGAGAGCATGTGTCCACACAAAGACTTACATGAATGAGCCAGGCATTTGCTGGTGGCTCACAACTGTAATTCTAGCTACTTGGGAGACTGAGATTAGGCGGTTCCAGGCCAAACAAGGCAAAAAGTTCACAAGATTCCATCCATCTCAACCAAAAAGGCATGCACCTGTCCCCCCAGTTACTACAGGATGCCTAAAATAGGAGAATCACAGTCCAGGCTGGCCTACCTCAAAAATAACCAAAGGAAAAAAAGGGCTGTAGGTATGACCTTCCTAGCAAGTGGTACAAGCGCCTGCCTAGCAAGCACGAAGCCCTGAGTTCAAACCCGAGTACCACCAAAATAATTAATAAATATATAAATAAATAAAAGACATATAAATGTTTATAAGAAGCCTTATGCAAAATAGCTCAAAACTGGAAACAACCCAAGTATCCATCAACAGATGAGTAAATAAAAAATGATATGCTACTACTTAGCAACAAGAAACAAACTACTGACATATGCATCAACATGAATAAGTCTCCACAGCTTTATGGAGAATAAGCAAGATGCAAAAGACTACCTGCCTATTGCCTGATTCCATTTATTTGACATTCCGAAAAAGACAAAACAATAGAAACCAGGTCAGTGGTTGCTGGGGGTTATGGGTGGGGGAGAGGACAGACCACAAAAGAGCATGAAATGTTCTATATCCAGACAGTGGTGGGAGTTACACAACTGTGTACATCTGCAAAAAGTCATCAAATTGTATACTTTAAAGGAGTGGATTTTACTATATGTAAATTAGATGTAAATAAATATGATACCCAAACATTCTGATAATTAACAGACCCCACAACTGAAATTATGCCTTGAAAGGTCTAAAAACTGCAT